CCTCGGTGTAGTTTTGGGGTCCCTTGGTGCAGTTTGGGATCCCCCTGATGCAGTTTGGGGTCCCTCGGTGCAGTTTTCGGGTCCCTTGGTGTATTTTGGGGTACCTCGGTGCAGTTTTGGGGTCCCTCGGGGCAGTTTTGGGTCCCTCGGTGCAGTTTGGGGTCCCCTGGTGCAGTTTTGGGGTCCCTCGGTGCAGTTTGGTGTCCCTCGGTGCAGTTTGGGGTCCCGTGGTGCAGTTTCGGGTCCCCTGGTGCAGTTTTGGGTCCCTCGGTGCAGGTTGAGGTCTGGTGCAGTTTTGGGGTCCCTCGGTGCAGTTCGGGGCCCCCTGGTGCATTTTGGGGTCCCTCGGTGCAGTTTTGGGCCTTCTGGTGCAGTTTGGGGTCCCTCGGTGCAGTCTGGGGTCCCCTGGTGCAATTTTGGGTCCCCTGGTGCTGTTTGGGCTGCCTCGCTGCTCTTTTGGCGTCCCTCGGTGCAGTTTTGGGGTCCCTTGGTGCAGTTTGGGGTCCCCTGATGCAGTTTGGGGTCCCTCGGTGCAGTTTTTGGGTCCCTCGGTGCAGTTTGGGGTCCCTCGGTGCAGTTTTGGGGTCCCTCGGGGCAGTTTGGGGTCCCTCGGTGCAGTTTGGGGTCCCCTGGCGAAATTTTGGGTCCCCTGGTGCTGTTTGGGCTGCCTCGCTGCTCTTTTGGGGTCCCTTGGTGCAGTTTGGGGTCTCCTGGTGCACTTGGGGGTCCCCCGGTGCAGTTTGGGCTCCCCTGGTGCAGTTTGAGGTCCCCTGGTGCAGTTTGGGGTCTCCTGGTGCAGTGTGGGGTCCCCTGGTGCAGTTTTGGGGTCCCTCAGTGCAGTTTGGGGTCCCTCGGTGCAGTTTGGGGTCCCTCGGTGCAGTTTTGGGGTCCCTCGGTGCAGTTTTGGGGTCCCTTGGTGCAGTTTGGGGTCCCCTGATGCAGTTTGGGGTCCCTCGGTGCAGTTTTTGGGTCCCTCGGTGCAGTTTGGGGTCCCTCGGTGCAGTTTTGGGGTCCCTCGGGGCAGTTTGGGGTCCCTCGGTGCAGTTTGGGGTCCCCTGGCGAAATTTTGGGTCCCCTGGTGCTGTTTGGGCTGCCTCGCTGCTCTTTTGGGGTCCCTTGGTGCAGTTTGGGGTCTCCTGGTGCACTTGGGGGTCCCCCGGTGCAGTTTGGGCTCCCCTGGTGCAGTTTGAGGTCCCCTGGTGCAGTTTGGGGTCTCCTGGTGCAGTGTGGGGTCCCCTGGTGCAGTTTTGGGGTCCCTCAGTGCAGTTTGGGGTCCCTCAGTGCAGTTTGGGGTCCCTCGGTGCAGTTTGGGGTCCCTCGGTGCAGTTTTGGGGTCCCTCGGTGCAGTTTAGGGTCCCCTGGTGCAGTTTGGGGTCCCTCGAAGCAGTCTGGGGTCCCTCGGTGCAGTTTGGGCTCCCCTGGTGCAGTTTTTGGTCCCCTGGTGGAGTTTGTGGTCCACTGGTGCAGTTTGGAGTCCCTCGGTGCAGTTTTGGAGTCCCTCGGTGCAGTTTGGGTTCCCCTGGTGCAGTCTGGAGTCCCCTGGTGCAGTTTTGGGGTCCCTCGGTGCAGTTTGGCCTCCCTCGGTACAATTGGGGTCCCTCGGGGCAGTTTGGGGTCCCCTGGTGCAGTTTGGGGTCCCTCGGTGCAGTCTGAGCTCCCTCGGTATAATTGGGGTCCCTCGGGGCAGTTTGGTGTCCCTCGGTGCAGTTTGGGGTCCCCTGGTGCAGTTTGGGCTCCCTCGCTGCTGTTTTGGGGTCCCTCGGTGCAGTTTGGGCTTCCCTGGTGCAGTTTGGGGTACCTCGGTGCAGTTTCGGGTCCCTCGGTGCATTTTGGGGTCCCCTGGTGCAGTTTCGGGTCCCTCGGTGCAGTTTGGGGTCCCTCGGTGCAGTTTGGGTTCCCCTGGTGCAGTTTGGGGTCCCTCGGTGAAGTTTGGGGTCCACTGGTGGAATTTGGGGTCCCTCGGTGCAGTTTTGGGGTCCCTCGGTGCAGTTTAGGGTCCCCTGGTGCAGTTTGGGGTCCCCTGGTGCAGTTGTGGGTCCCTTGGTGCAGTTTGTGGTCCCTCGGTGCAGTTTTGAGGTCCCCAGGTGCAATTTTGGCTCCCCAGGTGCAGTTTGGGGTCCCCTGGTGCAGTTTTCGGTCCCTCGGTGCAGTTTTGCAGTCCCCTGGTGCAGTTTGGCGTCCCCTGGTGCAGTTTGGGGTTCCCTGGTGCAGTTTGGGGTCCCTCGGTGCAGTTTTTGGGTCCCTTGGTGCAGTTTTGGGGTCCCTTGGTGCAGTTTTGGGGTCCCTCAGTGCAGTCTGGGGTCCCCTGTTGCAGTTTGGGGTCCCCAGGTGCAATTTTGGCTCCCCTGGTGCAGGCTGGGGTCCCTCGGTGCAGTTTTGGGGTCCCTCGGTGCATTTTTGGCTCCCTTGGTGCACTTTGGGGTCCCTCGGTGCAGTCTGGGGTCCCTCGGTGCAGTTTTGGCATCCCTCGGTGCAGCTTTCGGGTCCTCTGGTTTAGTTTTGGGTCCCTCGGTGCAGTTGGGGGGCCCCTGGTGCAGTTTTAGGTCCCCTGGTGCAGTTTGGGGTCCCCTGGTACAGTTTGGGGTCCCTCTGTGCAGTTTTGGGGTCCCTCAGTGCAGTTTTGCTGTCCCCTGGTGCAGTTTTGTCTCCCCTGGTGCAGTTTGGGGTCCAAAACTTTGTGTCCCAAACTCTATCCCCAGCATCACCTCCACCTCCAGCCCCTTTGTGCCCCCCCACCCCCTAGTCTCCCCCGTTGCCCTCTTTGTGCCCCCAACCCCCTTATCCCCCCATTACCCCCTTTGTGCCCCCTACCTCCTAATTCCCCCCATTGCCCCCTTTGTGCCCCCCCAATTCCCCCATCACCCCCTTTGTGCCCCCACCCCCTAATCCCCCTATTGCCCCCTTTGTACCCTCAACTCCTAACCCCCCCATAACCCCCTTTGCCCCCCACCCCCATTACCCCCCCATTGATACCTCCTTTATCCCCCCCTTAAGGCCACGACTGCTCCCTGCGCCTCTGGCACCTCTCTCACCGGACCTGTGTGCAGGAGCTCCGTGCCCATCGCCGCAAACAGGACGAGGCCGTGGACGCCATCGCCTTCCACCGATGCCACAGCCTCAGCACCAGTGCTGGCGCCATCGCCAAGGTCTCTGTGTGACCCCAGGGACGGGTGGGCACCAATGGGACAGACACACAAACACACCCCCCCCATCACCATCACTGTCACAATGGCAACAATGGGGGCTCCAGGATAACCCCCCCATCACCAGTGTCACCATGGCAACGATGGGGGCTCCAGCATACCCCACACCATGGGGGTATAGGGAGGGGAGCTGTGGGCTCTGGTACTCCTCCACGGGGCAGTTCTGGGTTCTAAATACCCCCCTTCCCATGGGTGATTGCCGGTTCTAGATGCCCCTCTGAGGGCAATTATGGGCTCTAGATGTAGGTAGTTAGGGTCTGGCGGTCGGAAGATGTCGCACTGTACGGAAAGGTAAGACCCCCCTCCGAGTAGCCAATAGGGCCTAGCCTAGGTCGTAAGCAGACGGACGTGACGTTGTAAACCCAGGCTATATAACACCGTGTTACTCGCCAATAAACGCCATTTGCCATCCACTGCATTGGTGTCCATGAGCTGATGGCCCGAGCGGCCTGGGGTTGGTCGCCGTGCCGTTCCTGAACCAGGTCGCCACGCCAACGAAGGCAACAAGTGGTGCTTATGCAAGATTGTAATCACAATATATAGGAACTAAGTCTTAAGCAAATAACAGATGTCCGGTAGTGCCAACAATGCTTATACAAATTGAGCTCTTTGCAAAGGGATGATTTGTCACTCAAAGGTCACGAGATAAGGAAGAAGAAGAACTTACGATTCAGCAATCTTCAAGAAGGCAGAATAAGCAAGAAAACAGAACAAGGACCCTAACAACAGGATACCATAGACTCAGACAATACCCTAACAGGATACGTATGCAGGATGTAAAGAGCACAGATACCAGATGTGATAATGTATAAAAGAGTAAAACCCAAAAGAGACGGTGTGCGTTGCTGGTGGAGTGAAGGCTCCCCTGCGCACCCAGCGCTGCTTGCTTATTGCCTCTCAATAAACTGTAAATAAATTAAATTTGGACCAAAACCCTGTCTATGCTAAATTTTTATAACAGCTGGAAGCCCTTGTGAAGATCGTATCTCAGTTACATAAGCAGTGGGGTATTGATTGTAAGCCCAGAGATTTTACTCTTGCAGTTGCGACGCTTTTACAAACTGGGGTCATTGACCAGCCAGTGGATATTCTCCACCCTGAGGTGTGGGATAAATGCACTAAAGCGTTGTTCGAGGAAATGATGTCCTCGGGTAGTGGGAAATACCTTAAGTCATGGGGGAAAGTCGTACAGGCCCTGCGGAAGGCCATACAAGAGCAGGAGACCTGGAAGGCAGCAAAGAACTTTTTGTTGGCTATCCCGAAATTGGGAGTCGGGGAAGCTACACAAACTCTGCACCCCCGAGACGGTGACGGCGCTACTGAGCCTAAAGATATGCAGAAAGGCGACATGCCTCCCCAGTCCCTGAATCCCGACCCGCCTACGGAGGGACAGGAACGAGCAAAATCCTTTTGGGGTGGGTTGGTCGAGGAGGCAGGGGCGCGGCGGAGAAGGAGTCCGAGGCAATTGGGGTTAGAGCACAGCCCTATGCGCCCCAAAATGGCGCCGAGCGGAGAGGAGGGCGGGGCGAAGATGTCCCCGGCGGGAACAGGAGGGAAGTGCTAGAACTGACAAGAGCGCGCAAAGGGGGGGGGGGAGGAGAATGAGGAGAACCGAAAGGGGGAGGGGCGGGCGAGCGAGGGGCGGACAGCCAATCAGAGAGGCCGTCGGGAAAAATGCCGTTGTAGGGCAAACACCCCGCCGAGCAGGGGGCGGGGCGAACCAGGAGGGCGGGGAGAGCCCAGAGGGAGGGAACGGCCCGCCCACAAGACAAGCGGGCGGGGCCGGAGCCCAACGAAATGGCACGGGAAACCGGAAGTAACCGGTCAGTCGACTTCCGACTCGGACTCTGGCACTACCTGGGGCTCGCGGCTCGCGGCTCGCAACCGATTCAAACTCAGAGGAGGAGGAAACGGAGGTAAACAAAGCTAAGAGCCGAAGGATTCCCATCCGGACTAAAGAGGAACGGCGAGGGGAAGAAGTCCCTCTCACGGACTGGAAGGAAATAGAGCTTGCATGTGCCGACTGGGCCCCATCAGTCAAACTAGCATTCCTGATCGGGTGACAGAGGGGGGACAGAGGGTGCGCTTGCCAATAAACCCTAAGGATGTACAAGCAATTGTTAAGGCAGTTGTGGATAAATGGCTTAATTCTGCCGTGGTCTCCACCCTCATAGATGGTGTTTTCGGAAGAGACGATATGCTCCCGTTTGATATAAAACGGGAATGGAGATGGGGATGGGAACAACGATGGAGGCTAGCCCTTACAGGGCGAGGGTGTGCCGCTGTTAGAAAAAATGGCAGAGTTAGGTGGTGCCCATTTAAATCCATTAAACTAGACCTCCATAATAAAACTAATGAAAATTGTGAGTTTCTGTTCACAGGATTAGATCATCGAACGCCCTCGTAACTCGTACGCCCCGGTGACAAGAGTGGATGACAAGTCACCAACCATCCCGTCCGCACCCGGGAGCTCCACACCAGCGGAACCCGAGCAACAGCGAAATAGCCCCCAAGGGAGGGGGCCACGATGCCTTTGTCTGATTTTGATTTTGGGGTTTGTTACTGTAGGGCCAGTAGAATGATCGTGCTGATATTACTCCTTGGACCCTATATATTGAATCGCCTTGTGTCATTTGTCAAGAGCCGGCTAGAACAGGTTAACATGTTTGTAGAAAGCCACCAACTACTTTAAGAATGTATCTACTCAGTATTACCCCCACTTATCCCAATTTACAACCCATCCCCTTAATTACCCCTCACTAACCACTTACCTGGAGCCACTAACCACTAACCTGAAGTGCCTCATCCTGTAACATTTTATATGTATATGTGTACCCTTTTCGACTTTTCTACTGTTTTACTTTTTATATTAGCCTATTTAATTAAACATAGGGAGGGGGGAAATGTAGGTAGTTAGGGTCTGGCGGTCGGAAGATGTCGCGCTGTACGGAAAGGTAGGACCCCCCTCTGAGTAGCCAATAGGGCCTAGCCTAGGTCGTAAGCAGACGGACGTGACGTTGTAAACCCAGGCTATATAACACCGTGTTACTCGCCAATAAACGCCATTTGCCATCCACCGCATTGGTGTCCGTGAGCTGATGGCCCGAGCGGCCTGGCGTTGGTCGCCGTGCCGTTCCTGAACCAGGTCACCACGCCAACGAAGGCAACATCTAGATGCCCCCCCAATGGCGATTGTGGGTTCTAGATGCCCCTCTGAGGGTAATTACGGGCTATAGAAGCCCCTCTGAGGGTAATTACAGGCTCTAGATGCCCCTCTGAGGGCAATTTTGTGCTCTAGATGCCCCTCTGGCAGCAGTTGTGGGCTCTAGATACCCCCTGGGGGTAATTATGGGCTCTATGTGCCCCCCCCAAGGGCACTGATGGGCTTTGTCTACCCCTCTGAGGGCAACAGTGGGCACTATATGCCCCTGCATGGGCAATTACAGGGTCTGTATACTTCTCTGGGGGTAATTATAGGCTCTATCTGCCCCTCTGAGGGCATTTACAGGCTCTGGTTGCCCCCTGAGTGTAATTGCAGGCTCTAGATGCCCCCCCATGGGCAATTATGGGTTCTATATGCTTCTCTGAGGGCAATTATGGGCTCTAGGTGCCCCTCGGGGGGTAATTCTGGCTCTATGTGCCCCTTTGGGGCAATTATGGGCCCTCTATCTGCCCTGGGGGCAATTAACACCTCTATTTGCCCCCATCTCATCCTGGGGGGGTGCTCTCTGTACCCCCAGGGGTACTTAAGGGCTCTGTGTGTGTGTGTGTGTGTGTGTCCCCAGGGGGGCAATAACAGCCTCTCTACCCCCTGGGGGGGCACTACATTCCCCTGGGGGCAATTATGGCCTCTATTTGAGAGGGGGAGCAATTATGAGCATTATCCCCCCCCCAAGGGGGGCAATTATGGACTTTATACCCCTCCCATGGGCAGTTCCATTCTGAAGGCCTTTGGGGGGGTCCCCCAACACTGCCCCCTTACCCTCCCATGTATATTTGTACAGCCCACTGTGTGATAGTCCGCCCCCCCCCCCCCAAAATTGGTCCTTTTTAATGCTGGCTCCTTTTTAATGTATTTATTGGGGGGAAGGGGGGGTCATGGCTCCAATAAAACCCTTTGGAAGAGCCCTGTGGTGCTGCTGGGGGGTGGGGAAAGAAGGGCGCCCCCCCCCCAGACCCTAATACAGCCCCCGTTGTGCCTTAATACCCCCCATTGCCCCCTTTGTGCCCCCCCATTGCCCCCCTTTGTGCCCCCAGCCCCCAAACCCCCATTGCCCCCTTTGTGCCCCCCAACCCTTAATACCCCCTCATTGCCCCCTTTGTGCCCCCCAGCCCCTAATCCCCCCATTGCCCCCTTTGTGACCCCCAACCCTTAATACCCCCCCTTGCCCCCTTTGTACCCCCCATTGCCCCCTTTGTGCCCCCCAGCCTCCAATCCCTCCATTGCCCCCCTTTGTGCCCCCCAACCCTTAATACCCCCTCATTGTCTCCTAATCCAATTGCTCCCTTTGTGCCCCCCAGCCCCCAAACCTCCATTGCCCCCTTTCTGCCCCCCATTGCTCCATTTCTGCCCCCCAACCCTTAATACCCCCATTGCCCCCCTTTGTGCCCTCCAACCCCCTAATCCCCCCCATTGCCCCTTTGTGCTCCCCAGCCCCTAATACCCCCCATTGCCCCTTAGTGCCCCCCAGCCCCCAATCCCCCCATTGCCGCTTTGTGCCCCCCAACCCTTAATACCCCCATTGCCCCCTTTGTGCCCCCCACCCCCTAATCCCCCCATTGCCCCTTTGTGCCCCCCACCCCCTAATCCCCCCATTGCCCCTTTGTGCCCCCCACCCCCTAATCCCCCCCCTTTGTGCCCCCACCCCCTTATATGGAGCAAAGGGGGGGCCACACCGGGGGGTGTCACCGGACACACGTCACTGGGGGGGGTGGCACCGGCCCTTTGTGGTGGCAGAGGACGAGTGAGCTCAGCATGGGGCTGCTGCGGGTATGGGGGGGACACCCCATGGAGGGGTCTATAGGATACATGGGGGGGTATGGGGGGAACACCCCATAGGGGGTCTATAGGATACATAGGGGGGTATGGGGGGGACAACCCATGGGGGGTCTATAGGATACATGGGGGGGTATGGGGGGGGACACCCCATGGGGGTCTATAGGATACATGGGGGGGTATGGGGGGGGTCTATAGGATACATGGGGGGGTATGGGGGGACACCCCATGGGGGTCTATAGGATACATGGGGGGTATGGGGGGGTCTATAGGATACATGGGGGGTATGGGGGGGTCTATAGGATACATGGGGGGTATGGGGGGTGTGGGGGGAACACCCCATGAGGATCTACAGGATACACGGGGAGGCTATGGGGGGGGTCTATAGGATACATGGGGGGGGGTATGGGGGGGACTATAGGATACATGGGGGGTATGGGGGGGACAACCCATGGGGGTCTATAGGATACATGGGGGGGTATGGGGGGGGTCTATAGGATACATGGGGGGGTATGGGGGGAACACCCCATGGGGGTCTATAGGATACATGGGGGGGGGTATGGGGGGACACCCCATGGGGGTCTATAGGATACATGGGGGGTATGGGGGGGACAACCCATGGGGGTCTATAGGATACATGGGGGGGGTATGGGGGGGGCATGGGGGGGTCTATAGGATACATGGGGGGGGCATGGGGCGTTCGTTATGGGGGTTCAGATGGGGGGGCTCGGACCCCCCCGCCCCCCCCCCCCCCCCCCCCCCCACCCCACCCCCCCCCCGAGGCTGCTGCGGTCTCTGAGTCCTGCTGCCCCCCCCCGGCACCTCCATAACCGAGTCCGGGAGCACCAGAAACTGTTCCAGGTGGGGGGCTCCCATGAAGGGGGTCACACTTTGGGGGGGGGTCAATGGGGGGGCTCCCATGAAGGGGGTCAGACTTTGGGGGGGTCAATTGGGGGGTCCCATTAAGGGGGTCACACATTGGGGGGGTGCCATTAAGGGGGTCACACTTTGGGGGGGTCAATTGGGGGGTGCCATTAAGGGGGTCACAATGGGGGGGGTCAATTGGGGGGGCCCATTAAGGGGGTCACACTTTGGGGTTGTCAATTGGGGGGGTTCCATTAAGGGGGTCCCACTTTGGGGGGGGTCACTTTAAGGGGTTGCTATGGGGGGGGTCACTTGGGGAATCCCATTATAGGGTTGTCTTTGGGGGGGTCCCTATGGGGGGGTCCTTTAGGGGGGTGCCAGTGCCCTGATGTCCCCTTTCCCCCCCCCCAGGAGGACAATGGGCTCCCCGTGTATCTCAAGGGGGGGGCCATGGACTCGGCCCTTTTCCGCCTGACCTCCCTCATCTGTACCGGGGGTACGGGGGAGATAAGGACCATGGGGGAGTATAAGGACCATGGGGGGGTATAAGGACAATGGGGGTGTTAAAAGGACCATGGGGTGGTATATGGACCATAGGGGGTATAAGGACCATGGGGGGGGTATATGGACCATGGGGTGTTGTATGGACCATAGGGGTGGTATAAGGACAATGGGGGGCTATGAGGACCGGAGGGGGTATAAGGTCCATTGGGAGGGGGGCACAGACACCTGCGGGTCCATAATGGGTCCTTTATGGGGGGGCCCTGGGGTCTATGGGGGTGTCCCTGACCCCTCCCCCCTCTGTCACCCCCCACAGGTACCTGTTACTCGCTGTGGTGCCTGGGTCAGGCCTCAAGAGCCAAGAAGCCCTGACCCCCCCATGGCCCCTCCCCCCTCCCCCAAGCAATAAATGGCTCCAGTGAAGCTGTGGGGCAGGTTTGGGACATGGGGGAGGCGGGGGGGGGGAAGGGGGGGGCCCATAGGCACCAATGGGGTTTTATTGCTCAATGGGAACGGGCGCTTCCCCCCCTGGGGATCCCCAAGTTTGTGTGGTCCCTGTGCCCCCCCCCCCGCAGGGCAAGACCAGCCTCCCCCGGGGCAATAAATAGCGTTGGGGGTAAAAGTGGCAGGGATGGGATGGGGATGGGATGGGGATGGGGTGGGGATGGGGTGGGGATGGGATGGGGATGGGATGGGGATGGGATGGGGATGGGATGGGGATGGGGATGGGATGGGGATGGGGATGGATGGGATAGGGATGGGATGGGGATGGATGGGATAGGGATGGGATGGGGATGGAGATGGGATGGGGATGGGCATGGGGTGGGGATGGGATGGGGATGGGGTGGGATGGAGATGGGGATGGGATGGGGACCAGGACAAGGAGGTGACAGGAGAGGACAGGGATGGGATGGGGATGAGGACAGGGATGGGGACCTCAGGGATTGGGACCACTGGGATGGGCACAGGGATGGGATGGAGATGGGGGCAGGGGTGGGGATGGGATGGGGGTGGGGACCCCCTGGCTGGGGGGCGGGGCGATTCCCAGGGTGTCAGCAGCGCCCCCCCCGGGCCGCCAGCAGCAGCTGCAGGGGGGGTGGGGGGGGGTCCCCGACGCCGTCCCCCTCCCGCTCCCGGTCCGGCCGCACCGCGCGGCCCTGCTGGAGGCTGAAGAGGCGAGCGCGAGTGCTGCGGGGACGGAACAGCCCCAGGGAGCCTGTGGAACCCTATGGGCACCTATGGAACCCTATGGAACCCTATGGACACCTATGGAACCCTATGGGCACCTATGGGCACCTACGGAACCCTATGGGCACCTATGGAACCCTATGAACACCTATGGACCCCTATAGACCCCTATGAACCCCTATAGACCTGCATGGACCCCTGTAGACCCCTATGGACCCATATGGAACCCTACAGACATCTGTGGACACCTATGGACCCCTATGGGCCCCTATGGACACCTATGGAACCCTATGGACACCTAGGGACACCTATGGACCCCTATGGACCCCTATAGACCCCTATGAATCCCTATAGACCTGCATGAACTTGTATGGAGCCCTATAGACCCCTATGGACCCATATGGACCCCTATGGACCCATATACACCCCTATAGACCCGTGTGGACCAGTATATGGGACCTGTAGAGACCCTTATGGACCCATACAGACCCGTATAAACCTGTATGGACTTGTGTGGACCTTTATAGACCAATATTGACCCTTATGGACCTGTATACACCCCTGTAGATGCTTATGGACCAGTATAGACCACTATAGACCTGCATGGACCACTATGGACTCATATAGACCCATCTAGCCCAGTATAGACCCCTATAGCCCATACATATGGACTCATATAGACCCCTATAGCCCACCATGGACCCCTATAGCCCATACGTATGGACTCATATAGACCCCTATAGCCCACCATGGACCCCTATAGCCCATATGTATGGACTCGTATAGACCCCTATAGCCTACCATGGACCCCTATAGTCCATATGTATGGACTCGTATAGGCCCCTATAGCCCACCATGGACCCCTATAGTCCATACGTATGGACTCATATAGACCCCTATAGCCCACCATGGACCCCTATAGCCCACCATGGACCCCTATAGCCCAACGTGGACTCCTACAGCCCACCGTGGACCCGTATGGACTCGTATAGACACCTATAGCCCACCATGGACCCCTATAGCCCATATGTATGGACTCATATAGACCCCTATAGCCCATACGTATGGACTAGTATAGACCCCTATAGCCCCATACGTATGGACCCCTATAGCCCACCATGGACCCGTATAGACTCGTATAGACCCATATAGACCAGCATAGACCCCTATAGCCCACCATGGACCCCTATAGCCCATACGTATGGACCCCTATAGCCCACCATGGACCCGTATAGACTCGTATAGACCCATATAGACCAGCATAGACCCCTATAGCCCACCATGGACCCCTATAGCCCATATGTATGGACCCCTATAGCCCACCATGGACCCCTATAGCCCATACATATGGACCCCTATAGCCCACCATGGACCCGTATAGCCCATACGTATGGACCCCTATAGCCCACCATGGACCCCTATAGCCCCCCCCCAGCCCATACAAACCAGTACGGGCGGCGCTCATCGGGGCTCAGGCTCTGCCAGAGCTGCGCCAGCTCCCGCGTGGCCGCGGTGGACGCCAGGCCTGGGTGAGCGCTGGCCCCGGGGCAGCACCGGGGTCAGGTCCCACATCCCAGAACCTGGGCCCCATGCCCCATATCCCATACAGACCATAGCCCTTAGAGCCCATACAGCCCATACAGACCATAGCCCATATAGACCATACCCATTATCCCATATAGACCATAGCCCTTAGATCCCATAGCCCATATAGCCCATAGCCAATATCCCATATAGCCCTTAGAGCCCATACCCCATACAGCTCATATCCCATATAGACCATAGCCCATATAGACCATACCACCCCATATACCCCATATCCCATATATCCCATATCCCATATAGACCATAGGCCATATACCCCATATAGACCATAGCCCGTATACCCCGTACACTATATAGACCACAGCCCATACCCTATATCCCATATAGCGCATATCCCATACCCCATAGCCCATATATCCCATACCCCATATCCCATACCCCATACCCCATGCCCCATATCCCATACCCATACAATATCCCATAACCTGTACACCCCATACCCCATATATCCCATACCCCAAGTCCCACACCCCATACCCCATACACCCCATACCCCAAACCCCATATACCCCATACCATATACCCCATACACCCCATATCCCTTATACACCATACCCCATACCCCATATCCCATATCCCATATCCCATACCCCATACCCCACATCCCATAATACCCACCGGAGGTAGGCCCTCCTGTTGAGGTGACAGAACATGATGAACCCGTTCACGCACTTCTTCTTTGGGGGGGGGGCGGCACCGCCTTGGCCTGGGCCCCGTGGGGGGTGCTCGGGGCTGCCATGGGCCTGTGCCTCCTATGGGGACAGTGGGGTATGGGGGGGGACAATGGGGGATGGGGATGTGGGGTGTGGGTATGGGATATGGGGTATGGAATATGGGGTATGGGATATGGGGTATGGGGTATGGAACATGGGGTATGGGATATGGGGTATGGAATATGGGGTATGGGATATGGGGTATGGGGTATGGAACATGGGGTATGGGGTAGGCAATATGGGATATGGGGTATGGGGCATGGGATATGGGGTATGGGGTATGTGATATGGGGTATGGGGTATGGGGTATGGTATGTGGAGTATGGGATATGGGGTATGGGATATGGGGTATGGGATATGGGGTATGGGGAATGGGATATGGGGTATAGGATATGGGGTATGGGATATGGGGTATGGGATATGGGATATGGGGTATAGGAATATGGGGTATGGGATATGGGGTATGGGATATAAGGGGTATGGGATATAAGGGGTATGGGATATATGGGCTATTTGGGGTATGGGATATATGGGCTATATGGGGTATGGGGTATATGGGGTATATGGGGTATAGGCTATATGGGCTATATGGGGTATATGGGGTATATGGGGTATAGGCTATATGGGCTATATGGGGTATATTTGGTATATGGGGTATATGGGGTATATGGGGTATGGGTCCGGGGGGCTCACTCTCACCTGGGCTCCGATGAAGGCCTCTGGGAACAGCTCTGGGGGGGCTGCAATTGAGCAGGGCCGTGGGCCCCTCCCCCCCCCATTGCCCTCTGTGTGCCCCTCCCCCCCCCAAACCCACCTCGGATCACATCCCCGGGGGGAGCGGGCGGGGGCGGCGATGCCAACAGCGCCCCCTGGCGGGGGGGAGGACACAGCGACACCCCCTCCTCCCTGCCCAGCTCCTCCCAATAGGGCTGGGGGGCGCACAGCGGGGGGCTGGGACCCCCCCGGGTCCCCTCCTCTTCCTCCTCCTCCTCGTAGGGCACCAGCTTCTGATGGGGGGGGCTGGTGGGGGAGGGGCAGCACTTTAGGGGTGCCCCCCCCTTTCATTGTGCCCCCCCCTCCATTATCTCCTACCTTGGGGTGACACCAGCGCTTGGTCCCACGTGCACAGGGTCACCAATGGGGAGGCCTGGGGGGGGGCACAGAGGGCGCCCCAATTAAGGGGGGGTCCCCATTTGATGGGAGGGACCCCAGTTGATGGGGTGCCCCCAGTTGAATAGAAGGGGTCAATTGAATAGGGGGTTCCCCAGTTGAATGGGGGGGGACTCAATTGAGGGGGGGTCCCTAATTGAATAGGGAGTCCCCAGCTAATGGGGTGTCCCCATTTGAGAGGGGGGCACCCATTGAGGGGGGTGCCCAATTGATGGGGTGTCCCCAATTGAGAAAGGGGGTCCCCAATTCAATAGGGGGGGCTCAATTGAGGGGGGGTCCTCAATTGAATAGAGGGTCCCCAATTGAGAAGGGGGGTCCCAAATTAAATAGGGGGGCTCAATTGAGGGAGGGTCCTCAATTGAATGGGGGGTGTCAATTGAGGGGGTTCTCCAATTGCGAAGCGGGGTCTCCATTGAATGGGGGGACTCAATTGATGGGGTGTCCCCAATTGAGGGGGGTCCCCAATTGATGGGGGGTCCCCATTACCTGCCCCCCCTCGCGCGCTGCTCACGCTGCTCCGCAGGTACCGGATGTACCCCAGCACATTCTCCAGCACCTGCTCCTGGGGGGGGTGTCCAGGGGATGTTATTGGGGGGCTGCTCCCCCCAATATGTGCCCCCCCATCCTCTCCCCGTACCTCGCTTTGGGGTACCCTCCTGCCGCGGGGCCATGGAACCATCCGGACCAGCTCCGGGAGCAGCGAGCGCCAGTTCCGGGGGGGGGCTCTGGGGAGGGGGGGACCAAAGGGGGGGATAATTGAGGGGGGGGGGGAGGGCGATACCAGATAGGGACAATGGGGGGACAAGGGGGGGGCGATACCAAAAGGGGGAATTGGGGGGGGAACACTGTTGGAGGGGGAGACATGGGACGATACCAATAGGGGACATGGGGGGGTACATACACACACATAGGGCGATACCGATAGGGGACATGGGGGGATACGTACACACACACAGGACGATACCAAGAGGACACAATGTGGGGGGGACACAGACACCAAAGGGGGACACTGATGCCCCCCCCCAGCCCCTCACCGGCTCCTCCCCGGCAACCTCGAGCCCGGGGGCCACATCTGCGGGGCGGGGGGCGACCAGAACTGGGGGGAGAGAGGGGCTTAAATGGCTCCGGGGGAGAGGGGGGGCTCTCCAACCCTATTGGGGAGGGGGGTCTCAGGCCCTACTTGGGGGTCCCACGACCTTTGGGGGTGTCCCAGGCCCTATTAGGGGGGTTCTGGGTGCTATGGGGAGGGTGTGTCTCAGGCTCCATTGAGGGTGCCCCGGGCCCTATAGGGTGGTCTCAGGCTCTACTGGGGGGGTCTCAGGCTCTATTGGGGGTGCTCCGGGCCCTATGGGGGGGTCTCAGGCTATATTGGAAGGGTCTCAGGCTCTACTGGGGGTGCCCCGGGCCCTATAGGGGGGTCTTAGGCTCCATTGGGGGTGCCCCAGGCCCTATGGGGGGGTCTCAGGCCCTGTGGGGGTGTCTCAGGTCCTATGGGGGGGGTCTCAGGCTCTACTGGGGGGGTCTCAGGCTCTATTGGGGGTGCCCCGGGCCCTATGGGGGGGTCTCAGGCCCCATTGGGGGTCCCCGGTCCCTAGGGGGGTGTCTCAGGTCCTATGGGGGGTTCTCAGGCCCTATGGGGGGCCCTTAGGCCCCATTGGGGGTCCCCGGGCCCTATGGGGGGTCTCAGGCCCTATGGGGGGCTCTCAGGCCCCATTGGGGGTCCCCGGGCCCCACGGAGGCCCCGTTCCCAGTTGGCTCCGTTCCGAGGCCGTTCCCAGCTCCGGGATTTCCCCCCCACCTCGAGAGGCCGACGCTGGCGCCAAACTGAGCAGGGAGGCGTGGCCAGAGCAGCTTAGGGCGGGGAGAGAACCGCCTCTGATTGGATGACTCCTCAGAAGGGGCGGTGCCAATCGCCCAGCGCGGGAAACACACCCCCTTCCCCCCCTTTACTCCCGCCAGTACCAACGCGGGGGTTCATCCCATCCCAATGGTGATCCCATGGGATCCAGGGGGTTCATCCCATCCCAATGGGGATCCCAATGAATCCAGGGGGGTTCATCCCATCCCAATGGGGATCCCAATGAATCCAGGGGGGTTCATCCCATCCCAATGGGGATCCCAATGAATCCAGGGGGGTTCATCCCATCCCAATGGGGATCCCATGGGATCCAGGGGGGGTTCATCCCATCCCAATGGGGATCCCAATGAATCCAGGGTGTTCATCCCATCCCAATGAGGATCCCAATGAATCTAGGGGGTTCATCCCATCCCAGTGGGGATCCCAATGAATCCAGGGGGTTCATCCCATCCCAATGAGGATCCCAATGAATCTAGGGGGTTCATCCCATCCCAATGGGGATCCCATGGGATCCAGGGGGTTTATCCCATCCCAATGGGGATCCCAATGAATCCAGGGGGGTTCATCCCATCCCAATGGGGATCCCATGGGATCCAGGGGGGGTTCAACCCATCAAATGGGGATCCCAATGTATCCAGGGGGGTTCATCCCATCCCAATGGGGATCCCAATGAATCCAGGGGTTTCGTCCCATCCCAATGAGGATCCCAATGAATCCAGGGGGGTCATCCCATCCCAATGGGGATCCCAATGAATCCAGGGGGTTCATCCCATCCCAATGGGGATCCCAATGAAGATCCCATGGGATCCAGGGGGTTCATCCCATCCCAATGGGGATCCCAATGAATCCAGGGGGTTCATCCCATCCCAATGGGGATCCCAATGAATCCAGGGGGTTCATCCCATCCCAATGGGGATCCCATGGGATCCAGGGGGTTCATCCCATCCCAATGGGGATCCCAATGAATCCAGGGGGTTCATCCCATCCCAATGGGGATCCCAATGAATCCAGGGGGTTCATCCCATCCCAATGGGGATCCCATGGGATCCAGGGGGTTCATCCCATCCCAATGGGGATCCCAATGAATCCAGGGGGGTTCATCCCATCCCAATGGGGATCCCAATGAATCCAGGGGTTTCGTCCCATCCCAATGAGGATCCCAATGAATCCAGGGGGTTCATCCCATCCCAATGGGGATCCCAATGAATCCAGGGGGTTCATCCCATCCCAATGGGGATCCCATGGGATCCAGGGGGTTCATCCCATCCCAATGGGGATCCCAATGAATCCAGGGGGGGTTAATCCCATCAAATGGCGATCCCAATGAATCCAGGGGGGTTCATCCCATCCCAATGGGGATCCCATGGGATCCAGCGGGTTTATCCCATCCCAATGGGGATCCCAATGAATCCAGGGGGTTCATCCCATCCCAATGAATCCAGTGAATCCCAGTGCGTTCTTTGCAATCTGATAGAGGGGGGAGCTCCATCCATTCCCGAGGGCTCGCAGGCAGTCCGAGGGGGTTCATCCACGGCAGATGGGACCATCCCGGCCCATCCCATCCCATCCCATCCCATCCCGGATGCAGGCTGATCCCTACTTCCCGGCTACGAGGGGGTTGCGCAGGACCACGATGACGGAGTCCCCGCGCAGGAACATGTTGGAGATGTAGCGGTCCTTGTTCACCGGCTTCGACTTCTTCTTCCCCTTGCCGCTCTTGGGCACCTCGGTCCACATCTCCTTCACGTTCTCCAGCACCATATTGCAGTGCCTGGGGGGAGAGGATAGGGATTGGGGTCCCCCCCCCAATCCATCCATCCATGGCTCCAAGGGGAACACGAGGAGAGATGGGGACCAGGGGCACCGGAGCAAGCAGGACCCAAGGCCATGGGGGGGGGGGGTGACACCCCAAAGGGGAACACATTGGGTACCAATGAGGTTGGACATCAATGGGGACCCCAATGGGACAACAGGGACCCCAAAGGGGAACATGGGAGGATGAGGGGGGTGCTGGCTCCCAGGAGGATGGGTTATGGGGACCCCAACGGGACATGGGAGAGGGGGTGCTGGCTCCCAAGAGGATGGGTTATGGGGACCCCAATGGGACAATGGGAGGATGAGGGGGGTGCTGGCTCCCAAGAGGATGGGTTATGGGGACCCCAGCGGGACAATGGGAGGATGAGGGGGGTGCTGGCTCCAAAAGGATGGGTTATGGGGACCCCAGCGGGACAATGGGAGGATGAGGGGGGTGCTGGCTCCCAACAGGATGGGTTATGGGGACCCCAATGGGACAATGGGGACCTGTTGAAGGCCTTGACGCGCCCCAGCAGCTTCTTGTTGTTGCGGCAGTTGATGAGGACCTGGGTGTTGTTCTTGACCGACTGCGTGAGCACAGAGAGCGGGCCCGTGTTGAACTCCTCCTCCTCCCGCTTCTGCAGCTCCTCCGGGGTCATCTCGCTCTTGGGCTTGTTCAGGAGGCTCCTGAATGGGGGGAATGGGGGTGATGGGGGAATGGGGTGATGGGGAATAGGGGGAATAGGGGTGATAGGGGTATGGGGGGAATAGGGGTGATGGGGGAATGGGTCAGCCCCCAAGGAGCTGAGCCTAATCCTGCTGCATCCCCATCCCTGCATGCTGGGGCTGCTCCCCCATTAACGGTGTCCATCAAGGGATGGGGCTTCCCATGGCAAAGGGGCTGGAGGCTCCTCCGCTGCCAAGGTCCACCTGGAAATGCCCAAGGAAGAGCTCTGGGGCTGCTTGCAGGGATGGGTCCATCAAAGCACAGTAAATGCAGGAAGATGCTCAAGCTCTCCTGCTCACATTCCCACCTCAGGGCACCTGAGCTCCCAAAGCTGCCTGGGTGTGACGTCACCCGTCGCGTATGACGTCACAGAGCAGCGGCGCTTCCGGAACGCAGCCGGGTATCAAAGCGGGGCCGTCGCTGTGTCTGGGTCATTGGTGGTACCCGCACCTCAGCAGATGCAGAGAGAAAGCTGCAGAAAGACAACTCCTGACCAAGGGTGTGTGGAAAATCCTCCCCTGCTCTCCCCCACTGCGTTTTCCTCCTCATCACAATGGGGTGGGTGGGGGGGGTGTCCCCATCTCATCGCATCCTAACCTCATCTCCGTGTGTGCCATCATACAGGTCAGCTCATCTTCATCCCACTTCAACTTCGTCTCACATCATCTCAAGTCTCAACGCATCTCATCCCATCGCATCGCAATGAATCTCATCTCATCGCATCTCATCTCATCACATCTCATCACATCCCATTTCATCTCATCTCGTCGCATTGCATCCCTTCCCATCCCATCCTATTCCATCTCATCCCAATCCATCCCATTCTATCCCATCCCATCCCATCCCATCCCATCCCATCCCATCCCATCCCAATGCACTCCATTCCATCCCATCCCAGTCCATGTCATCTCTCCTCCCCTCATCATATGCTGTAGAATATGATATTGTATCATAGATTGTATTATAGCATCTCATAACTTATCAAAGCATAGCATAGCATATCTTGTATCATACCATATGCCATATTATGTTTTATCATGTTATATCTTGTTAAATCATGTTACAGCGTCATATCATATCATATATCATTGCATTTCATTTGTATTTCATTGGATTTTATTTCATTTCATCCTTGTAATTTTCTCTCCTCTCAAAAAACATTGTCGTATCGTATCTTATCGTATCTTTTATCATATCATACCACACTATACCACACCATCATATCATGTATCATATTACAGCATATCGTAGAATAGCAAACCCTATCAAAGCATATCATACCATATCTTCTCTACCATAGCATATCGTGAATACCATGCTGTACTGAAACTGATGTGGCCTGTGTACAGGGGGGTTGTACAAGGGGGTTAGACAAAATGTACAGGGGGGTACTGCTTAAGTCATAGCTGGCTTAACGAGCTCAGCAGATGTCTTATCAGGCAGCACCAGAACAGAACCTCCTAATGAGGAGAATGGGGGGGTTGTACAGGGAGTACTGCTTAAGTCATAGCTGGCTTGACAAGCTCAGCAGGTGCCTTATCAGGCAGTACTAAGATAAAGTTCCTAACGCAGGGAATAGCTCATTAAACCAGTTAGACATAGACCAGACCCATCCAGCTCCTAAAGAGCATGCGAGAGGACCAGAGGTAAAAAGTTCAATCCTGAGGCAGACTCGTTTACTTCATCTTGAAGACCCCTACCCACAAGAGGAAGACTACTTACTTCATCTGAAGACCCCTGCCCAAGACCAGCAGGAGGCACTGCGCATGTGTGGAGAGCCTTTTAGCTCCTTATAATACGAAGCGGGGATAGAATATGAATACGTATGACTTTACAGGATAAATGTAGAAGAAAAACGGCACTAAGACACGCATGCCTTTTGGAGGACCAACCCCCCGTGCGTCTTCAGCTGAATAAAGCATACCTACTTTACAACTTTAACGACGTTGTGGAGTCTATTCCGCTATCAGTACCGTACCGTATCATATGGTATAATTTGATTCTATTTCATTTTGTTTAATTTCATTTCATTTCCATTTTATGTCCGTTTGATGTCATTTTGTTTCATTTCATTTCATCCTCCTCATCTCTTAGTGTATCTTGTATCATATCATGTAACATATGATGTTTTATCGTGTTATATCATGTTACATCATGTTATAGCATCATATCATATAATTTCATTTCCATTTCATTGCATTTAATTTAATTTCATCCTTGTCATTTTCTCTCCTCTCCAAAATATTATGTCATGTCGCATCGTATCTCATATCATATCATATTTTATCACATTTTATCATATCATAATCTATCATATCTGATCATGTCATACCACACGATACCACACCACCATATCGTACATCGTATTATAGCATATCATAGAATAGCAAACCCTATCAAAGCATATCATAGCGTATCTTCTCTATCATAGCATATCATGCATGCCATGCCGTGCCATACCGTACCGTATCATATGAGTATATTTAATTTCGTTTCATTTCATTTCATTTTATTTCCATTTCATGTCCATTCGATGTCATTTTGTTTAATTTCATTTCACCCTCCCCATCTCACAGCATATCTTGTATCATATCATGTAACATATGATGTTTTATCATGTTATATCATGTTACATCATGTTACAGTGTCATATCAGATCATATAATTTCATTTCATTTCCATTTCATTGCATTTGGTTTCGTTTCTCCTCCTCCTCATTTTCTTTCCCCATCATCTCAAAAATATTCTATCATGTAATACCATATCACATTTTATATCATGTCACAATCTATCATATCATACCATATAATATCCTATCCTATTATATATCACTTTATTTCATTTCCCTTTCATGTCGTATCATTTTATGTGATATCATTACATTTTATCATAATTTACTTTGATTTAATTTAATTGCATTTCATTTCATATTGTATCATATAATTTAATTTTATTTTATTTCATTTCATGTTCATTTGAAGTAATCTCATTGAATTTCATTTCATCCTCCTCTTTCTCTTCTCTTTCTCTCCTCTTCTCTTTCTCTCCTCTTCTCTTTCTCTCCTCTCCTCTCCTCTCCTCTCCTCTCCTCTCCTCTCCTCTCCTCTCCTCTCCTCTCCTCTCCTCTCCTCTCCTCTCCTCTCCTCTCCTCTCCTCTTTTCTCTTCTCTTCTCTTCTTCATCCCAACCCCATTCTGTCCGGCCCCTTCCCATCCCATCCCAATCCCACCCCATCCCCTCCCATCCCATTCCACCCCATCCCCTTGTGAGTGACTGAACTGCAGTGAGGCTGGACTCTCCAAGCTTTGACTGATTGCTGTGAGGAACTGGACTGGGACTCTTGACTGTTCAATTGGACATGATTAAAGAATCTGTTTGGAACAGATTGATTTGTGTTTGGAGCCTACGAGGGTTTCAGTGGTTCAGTGCTGCTCTTCACAATGGGCTTTCAGCATTAGAGATGGGAAACTGATAGGAGATGAGGCTTATGGGGCCCACCTGCATGCTGCGAGGCTCCAAGGGGGGAATTGTAAGGTGGAAATCAAAACCACGCTCAATTGCAAGCTGTAGATGGGGAGCTCTCTGTTGAGAGCAAGATGGGGCTGGTTCTTCAAGGCACTGGAGTCCCTCTCCAGCATCCTTGTGACCCTCTCAGGCACTGGAAGCTGCTCAGAGGTCTCTTCTCCAGCCCCAGTGCTCTCAGCCTGGCTCTCAGCAGCTTCCTTCAAGGGGCTTCCATCACCTGCAGCAGCTCTGCTGCTGCAGCACCCTCCATGGCCACCACAGACCCATGGGGCCTCATGCCCACTCCACAGCTCTGCCACCCCCCCAGCCCCACAGCTTCCATGTCCTCACAGGAGGGTCCTGGTTCACCTCACTCACAGGCATCTCCATCACTCCCAACATTCCCACTGCCTCCAGTAGCCCTGGTACCCTCATCATCATCATCATCATCATGGCTTGACTTCGCGAACGAAGATTTGGGAAGGGCTTTTACCCACGCTTACTACAAGCGCGCTGATGACTAAGAAGCCCAATGTGGGATAGGCAAATCCGGCTACAGAAAGCACAGCAGAAGGTCTCCTTGGGTGGAACAGGTGGGGCGCGATTCTTCCTGCATTGTCTTTTCTCCTCGAGACTAGTTCTTTGTGAACTCTCAAAGGAGTCAGCGGCATTATGTATGGTGTGCCTCCTGGTACCCTCAAAGCATCCCATAACCCATCTGCTACCCAGAAACTCACCCTGCCCCAGCCATCTCCATCCATCCCAGTAGCCCTAAGCCACCCAAAACTACACGGTACCCCAAAACCCAACCAACCCCAGGCATCTGCATCCCTTCCAGTCCCCATGGTACCCCTAAACCACCCCAAAATCCACCTTGTACCCCAAAAATCCAACCAACCCCAGGCATCTCCATCCCTTCCCCTCCCCATGGTACCCCTAAACCACCCCAAAACTGCATGGTACCCCCAAACCCAACCAACCCCAGGCACCTCCATCCCTTCCCATCCCCATGGTACCCCCAAACCCAACCAACCCCAGGCATCTCCATCCCTTCCCATCCCCATGGTACCCCCAAACCCAACCAACCCCAGGCATCTCCATCCCTTCCCATCCCCATGGTACCCCTAAACCATCCCAAAACCCCATGGTACCCCCAAACCCAACTAACCCCAGGCATCTCCATCCCTTCCAGGCCCTATGGTGCTCCTAAAATCCTCAAAAACCCATGGTACCCCAAAACGCAACCAACCCCAGGCATCTCCATCACTCCCAGCACTGCTGGTACTCCTAAATGGCCCCAAACCCCATCTTTATTGAGCCCCATAAGGAAGGGTGCCCACACACAGCATGTTGGGGTGCAGAGGTGCTGCTTTGGGTGACAGCCCCAGCCCATGGCCCTGCAGCAGGCTCTCCCACAGCTTCAGTCTAGAACCCAGCTGGGTCACCATGGCAACGGGTCAAAACATGGCCCTTTGTGACCTCATTCGGGTCACCCTGCTTGAATGCTTTGCTCAGGGGAGCAGGCAGTGACAGGAAAGAGCAGGACGAAGGAGCCAGTGGGTTGCTTCTGAGCTCGAGCCCTGTTGTGTTTGGTCCAAGCTTTCCCCTTCGCTATCCCGATCCCTTTCCTGCATCCCGCGGGATAATGGAGAGAGCCCCCAGATCCCCCCGGCAGGCTTGGGAGAGGGATGAGGCTCTTGAGGGGAGCATCTCTTCACTAGAGCCCTGTGAGGAATCCCCGCCTGTGCCATTGAGGGCTGGTGAGTGTTGGTATGGGAGCAGGACAAGGGGAGATGGGTTCAGACTGGAACAGGGGAAGCTCCGCTTGGATAGAAGGAAGTTGTTCCATGTGGAGGGGGTGAGGTGCTGGCACAGGGTGGATGCTCCATCCACGGCCACGTTGGACACAGCCTTGGTGACACTGAATCGTAGAGCCATAGTATGGGTTGGGTTGGAAAACCCAATGGGTGATCTCCGGGTCCTTTCCAACCCAACCCATTCTATGATTCCATGACTTTATGACCAGCACCACTTTCCTTGGATGCTGGTGGGGGGCAGAGCTTCCTCTGCTCTCTAAACCTCTCCTCTTCCTCCATGAGATGCCAGCTGGTTACCCATGTATGTAGTGGACCGGGACAACGTGGAGCGCATCGAGGCCTTTGTCAGCACCCCAACCAGGGTGAGCACTTTGCAATGCTGATGGGTGCTGTTGCCTTCACCCCTAGCACTCCGGTACCCCCGTCCCCTCTCATACCCTCTGTTTGTGCCTCCATCCCCCCTGGTTCCAGACTGAGCGTGACAAGGTTGGATTCCTTGAGAGCGTTTACTCCCTGCTGAGCATCGCCAGGATCTGCGGCTTGCAGGAGGGCCTGGATGTCTTCTGCTGTAAGAACCATCTCACAGAGACCATCCAGGTGAAGGGACCCCCATGGGGATGCTCTGGGCAAAGGCCTCCAGCCCCCGGTGAGGGCAGCATTGGTGCACTTCGAGGTCCCTTATCCCCACTGTGCTCTACAGACACTGCTCCAAGAGCAGCCCATGGACCAGCTGCGCACGGAGGTGCGGCATCTCGCCATGAATGCGATAGCGGAACTGAGGTACCAACTGCGCATCCCTCCTGGGGACCCCACTGCTCCCATCACCAGCATCCAACTGGCGCCTTCTTCCCTTTGCAGCTCAGTGCAGTCAGGGCTTGCGGACCAAGGGAGACGCCTCTTAGAGACCTGCTGCAACAGCGTCTTTTTCCTGCCTCCGAAAGAGGAGTTTTCGGGCCTGGATATCTACTTCTACATGCAGGTAAGGTGCTCCAGGAGCCCGCAGCTCCCTTTGGAGTGCTGGAGCTGGGGGATGCCTGCGGTTGAAGCCCCATTGGTACCCAAAGGCTCTGCTCTGTCCCTGCAGGCACTGAAGTCCATGGATAACATGCTCCAGAGCCTGGTGCTCAACTCTCCTGACCCCAGGGCCGGCAAGGAGCTGCAGAGCATCCTGCAGGTCTGGCCTGTGCGGAGCGGGGTGCATGGGGGCTGCTCCTCACTCATGGCGCCCCCCAGAGCCATGGGGTCCCCCTCCCCTGGGTAACCCCAGGCCCTCCTGGAGCACGGGGGCTGCAGGGGGTGGCGACCCCACATGAGGAGGCTGAGGCCCCCCGGGATGGGGTCTTTGCTGCTTCCTGGCCCCATGGGCTGGGACCAGGCTGCTGGGGCCCATGGGCTGGTTCTGGAAATTCCCTTGCCCTGAACTGTTGCATACAGAGGTCTTATAGGAGGAACTTGTCTGTTATAGATATAAATATAGATATGTATATATATATGTGTGTATATATGTATACATATGTATATGTATGTATAGGTGTATATATGTAAATATATGTACATATACGTGTGTGTATGTATGTATATAGATTTATATATGAATTTATACTTGTATCTACTTATCTATTTAGATATCTACGTATATTTATACTTATATCTGTACATCTATATTATTTTCATAATTATTAGTAATGAAATAATACTAGCAATATATTAATATTAATACCAATATTTAAGTCTATGGATATATTGATATTGATGCATTAATACTGATGTTAATATTAATATCAATATTTTAGTGTAGACGTTTATATTAATATTTTATTTATAATTTCATTTTAATATTTACTTGCATGAATATCGATATTTATAGTATGTATATCTGTTTAATATATCCATATATTTATTTTTTATTTAGATCTATATTTATATATCTGTATCTCTAATTATAATAATTATTTTTCTGTGATATTTCTATGGTATTTAGACCCACCATGTATCTATTCAGCTCTATGGCTCTATCCCTATTCACATGTATGTACCCGTACACCGCAACCACAGCAGCACAGAGCGGGCTGGATTGGAAAGGACCCCAAGCCCCTGCAGCCCCAGGGCAGGGGCAGTGCTGAGGCATTGATTGTCACCGCCAGCTCCAGCCCAGCCCTGGAAGCGGGGCAGTGCCTTGGTCCTTGCGGCCGGGGCATCACCCACAGCGAGGGGACCAAGCCCTCAGCCCCTGCATCCCTTCCCGTGCCGCTGCCTCCACCCCTGCCCGCCCCGCGGTGATGCTCAGCGGGAGCTGCAATGGAAGCTCCGGGGCTCACCCGCGGCTTCTCCCCCTGCCCAGATCCTGCTGCGCTTCAGCGGCTCCCCCAGCCCCGTCGTGAGGGAGAGGGCCCTGGGCAGGATCGTGGCCCTGGCCCGGCTGCTGTGGCACCACCGCACACTGAGGGTAAGGACCCGGCAGGACCGGGGCGGTCGGCAGCGACCCCTGCACGGGGAGACGGGGACCTGCAGAGCATCCTGCGTCTGCCTGCCCCTGCCCCTGCCCCTGCTCCTGCCCCTGCCCCTGCTCCTGCCCCTGCCCCTGCTCCTGCCCCTGCCCCTGCCCCTGCTCCTGCCCCTGCCCCTGCCCCTGCTCCAGCTCCAGCTCCAGCTCCTTCTCCTTCTCCTCCTCTTTCTCTTTCTGCTTTCTCTCCTCCTCATTCTTTGGGTCCTTCACCTTTCGTTCAAGTTCTTCCTCCCTCCCCAAAACCTGCACCTGACCTGGAGCAGCCTCTTCAGCCCTGTCTCCCCGCAGGAGCTCCCGGTGCCTCTCCTGGGCCAGCTCTTGGGCCACCTCCTCCTCTTCCGCTATGCCAAGGACAAGACGAGCTCCCTGGCCCTGGATGCTCTTTGCAGCCTCCATGAGTACCTCCTGCAGCAGAAAGGTACTGGAGGCCATCATGGGCTCCCCCCAACCCCTCCCTGTGTCCTATGGACTTCCCGCTGTCCCATTGAATCTCCTGTGTCCCATTGTCTCTCCTGTGTCTCACTGACTTTCTTGTATCCCATTGACTCGCTTGTGTCCCATTGACTCCCCTGTATTCCATTGACTCTCCTGTATCCCATAGACTCTCCCGTGTCCCATTGAATCTCTTGTGTCCCATTGCCTCTCCTATATCCCATTGACTCTCCCATATTCCACTGACACTCCTGTGTCCCATTGACTCTTCCATATTCCATTGACACTCCTGTGTCCCATTGACTCTCCTGTATCCCATTGACTCTCCTGTATCCCACTGAATCTCCTGTGTCCCCTTTGCTCTTCAGAAAGGCCAAAGCCAGAGCATAAAGCGGAAGAGCTGAGATGGGGTGAAAAAAACAGCCAATACCTCACCATGGTAATGGAACTCACCCCAATGCTGGACCCTATGGTGGGATGCTTTCCCAAGCAGGGACAACGCCCCTCCCATGCTCCCAATCTTCCTCCATAGAGGTTTGTAGGCTCCCTTTATCCATGGGAGAGGACAGACATGGTCTGCATCATCATCGAGGCCATGAAGGACTCGAGCATCTTCAACAGGAGGGTGGCAGAGGACATCCTGGAGCTGGTCATGAGCAACCTCGACTTCTGGCTGGTGGAGGTGGGTGCCCCATGGCTGCGTTCCCATCCCCTTTGGTCCTTCCTCCTCCATCCCAAACCTAGGAGGGGTCCTGGGTACCAAGATGCAGCAGAGAGGGATGGGGAATGCAGGCCCAGCACCATCCTTGCCCCTGCTCCTGCTTCCAGATTCCAAGTGTCGTGAGGAGCATCCATGAATGCCTGCGGAATAGCAGAAGAGAAGCGACACGGGGCAGGATGGACGCGCTCCTCATCCTGATGGCCAGCAAGCACCCGAGGGCATTGCTGATCAGCATGGTCCTCAACGTGCCCTTGAGAGACAGGTACCAGCCTTGAGGGCTTGGTCCCTATGGCCACCAGACCCGAGGACCCATGGCAATGGATGATCTTAAGGCCTTTTCTATGATGCTGAAGAGTGGGTCCCTGCATCCCACCCCATGGCATTGGGGATGGAATTTGATGATCTTAAGGTCCTTTCCACGATGCAGAGGATCGGGTTCCTCCATCCAGACCCATGGCAAGGGTTTGGAATTGGATGATCTTAAGGCCCTTTCCATGATGCTGAGGATTGGGTCCCTCCATCCAACCCCATGGCATTGGAGTTTTAATTGCATGATCTTAAGGCCCTTTCCATGATGCTATGACATCCCTGAGGAGTGGGTCCCTGCATCCCACCCCATGGGGAGCACCACCACTAACCCCCATTGGGCATCCCATGGGATGCATGGACCACGCTGATTCAGTGCCCTGCCTTCCAGCGCTGGCGTGGCCATGTGGGAGATGTTCCTGAACATATCCAAGACATTGGAGGCCCTACGGGAGCTGCTGGAGATGCTCCAGGACACCCGGGACACCTCCATCCCCACCTTGGTTGTGAGTCCCAAAGGGCCCTGATGAGTCCCATGAACCCTGCAGGCTCGATGGGGTCTCAATGCCTGTGTTTGCCTTTAGCCCATGGCCTCCAGTGCTGGTGGTGCTGAGGGTGCTGAGGACCTCCAGAGCCTGGTGACAGCGTCCATGCTGATGAGAATCCTCTTTGAGCTGTCAGAGCAACCTCGCTTGGTGAGCGGGGCATGGCTGTGGGGCAGGGCATGGCCATGGGGAGCCCTCTTGGCTATGGAGAACCATCTTGGCTATGGGTCATAGGGAACCCTCTTGGCCATGGGGCAGGGCACAGCCATGGGGAATCCTCTTTTCCATGGGTCATGGGGAGCCCTCTTGGACATGGGGCAGGGCATGGCCATGGGGACCCCTCTTCGCCATGACCTTGGTGACCACAGCCTTGGGTCAAGGCTTCCCCACAAGGAGCCCCCATCTCTTCCTGCAGGCAAGGAAACTGCAGTGGCTCCTGCCCCACATCATGGGCGGGCTCCAGGATGCCGAGGACGAGCTCAGGATAAAGGCCCTGATGACCATATGGAACGTGATGAATTACCTACCGAGGAAGGAGGCCAGCTCCATTGCCGTGGGGCTGGTGCAGGACCTCCGGCCCCTCTTGGATGCAGTAAGGGCTGTGTGGGCCCCTGCAGGGATTTGGAGCTCGCATGGGGATGGCTCCAGGGCTTCGCATCCCATCAGGATCTGCCCAAGTCCCCCCTTTTCCTCCTTGCCTCCAGGGATGCAGCCACCTCCGGCTCCTCTCCATCCGCCTGCTCCGGTCCCTGCTGGTGTCGGTGCTTGGCAGCGACAGGAGGAGGATGAGGAGCGAAACCTGGGATCTGCTGCTCCCGCTCTTCTTGCGCATGAGCGACCGAAGCTGCAGCGTGGCCGAGGTACGGACACCCCCCCACACACACCCGTATCCCACTGTTCCTGAGGGTGGGATCATCCCCAAGGTGCCATCTCCCATCCCATCCTGTGCAGGCTTCCTGGGAAGCTCTCCTTGCTGCGGCGACGCTCCTGGGATGGGAAGAGCTCCGGCGCCTGTTGGAGTCAAGGCAGACGTGGAGGGTTGCGCAGTGCTTGGTATGGGCCCTGTATCCATCCCTATTCCCATTGGAACCCTTTGGACCGCTCTGCCCATCCCACATCCGATGGGAAAGGGAGCCTTGGGACTGCTGCAGCCAATGGGGGAGTTCTGTAGCATCCCATTCCCTCTGCAGCTGGAGCGGAGCAGGAAGAGGGCTCAAGGATACCTGCACCAGAGCCTGCGGTACCTGCAGGATGCTCAGGTCCCCCTGCAAGAGGCAGCCGTCAGGTTCATTGGTGAGCCCCTGCAGTCCCAATCCCGGTCCCCACCGCTGCATCCCTGATGGATGCTGATGGATCCAAATGGATGCTGATGGATCCCAATGGATTCCTGTGCCCAGGACTGGCTGCGCAGCCTCTACGAGGGAAAAGCCCAAGGAAGCTGCAGGAGATCTGCAGAGGTGAGGAGGGAGCAGGGATTGGGGGGATGCTGGGGGCTATGGAGGGGCTCATCCCGGTATCTTTGGATCACAGCCCTGGAAGCAGTGCCGGATGAGGGCGATCCCGGCCTCCGTTCCCTGACAGCTCAGACCCTGCTCATCCTCCGGAGCACACCGGAGCAGCGGAGCCTGGGATACCGCCTGCGGGCGCTCTTCCGCTAGGAACGGCGCAGTTTTCCTTAGGGAAAAGGACGGCGGAGACAAACCTGGACCTAGGAGCTCCGGAGACTGAAGGGCATCACCTCCGCCGTCCCATTCCCTCCCCTCCATTTCCGATAGCATCCAGGCAGCACGGACTCCTAACGTGATTCCCCGTTTATACTGCAATGAAGATGAAGTGATTCCTTCCGGGCTTCCCTGCTTCCATGGATCAGCAAAGGGGGTGGCGCTGGGGCAGAAAACGGTGTTCCCAAAGGAATCTGGTCCATTATAACGCTAAAAGTCATGCATCAGCATCAGAATCCCTGCTCGCTTCCACTGAGCGCACCCGCGCACCCCGGTGTGCTCCCCGTCGCTCTGCCTCTTGGTACCGCCCACTGGATAAAGCCACGCCCCCCAATCGCGCCCAGCCTATCAGAGCCCCCCCAATCCGTCGTAGTCACGCCCCTTTTGTGGGCGGGCTCATCGGGAACAAAACGGAGAGGGCATCCCCCCTACCCAAAATGGGGGACACCTCCCCCAAGATGGGATCTCAGCACCCCAAAATGGGGGGAGCCCCAACACCCAAAATGGCTTCGACCCCCCATCCCCAAAGTGGTTGCAAGCCCCCTTTTCTACTCCTCCCTTATGGAACAAACCACTGTGGGGAGGGGGGGGCAGCATTTTTCTTCCCATCAGCATCAAAACGGGGGGTAGGGGAATTAAATAAGGTTATGGGGACATAGAAAATAATATACACAATGGGGGGGATGATTTGGGGAGGGCCCAGTCGGAGGGGATCACAGTGAGGCCCCTCCCTGTGAATAAAATGGGCAGAAAAAGGCAAGATTTAGGATTGGAAAGGCACCATTTATACAAATATAGTGATTTATAAAGGGGGGGTTAGACCCATTGGTTTCCACGAGGAAATAATTTAGGGGGAGGGGAATAAAGTGCTAGAAGAGCCTAATTATTAATTAGCATATTATTAATTGTTATTATTAAGGATTTGGCCCCCAAATGAGGGGCTCCTGCAACCCCTTATTGCCTTGAATTGTATCGTCCCGTTCTACACCCCCCTCCCCAGGGATATGGGGGTGGCAAAAGGGATATATGGGGTGGGGTGGAGCCCTATAGGGAAGCCTCAACCCTATAGGAAGGCCTCCGCCCCGTAGAGAAAGCTTGAACCCGATAAGGAAGGCTCAGCCTATAAGGAAGGTTCAGCCCCATAGGGAAGCCTCAGCCCCATAGGGAAAGCCTGAACCCCATAAGGAAGCCTCAGCCCTATAGGGAAGGCTCAGCCCCATAGGAAAGACTTGAGCCCCATAGGGAGCTCTTGAACCCCATAGGGAAGCCCCCAGCACCATAGAGATGGATATTCTCAGTCCCCTATGGAGGTTTGTGGCCCCATCAGGGTTGGTCCTTAGCCCCACGGGGAGGCTCCTGACCCCACAGAGATGCTCTCAGCCCCATATGAATGCCCTCTGTCCTATAGGGAAAGTCTTCAGTGTCATATGGATGCATGTATGATCCCATAGAGTTGCATTTGGTCCCATACAGAGGCCCCTGGTCATATATGGAAGCCCATGACCCCATATGGAAGCTCATGGCCTCATATGGAAACTCTCAGGCCAATGTAAATGCTCATGGTCCTGTCTGGAGACCCCATGGCCCCATATGGAAGCTCATAGTCCCATATGGAGGCCCTTGGTCCTGCATGGAGGTCCTTGGTCTCATATAGAGGCCCATAGCTACATATGGAGTCCCTCAGCCCTAAGCCCTAGATGGATGCTTGTGGTCCCATATGGAGGTCCCTTGTCATATATGGATACTCCTAGCCCCATATGGAGGAAATGGAAAGGCCTCTCAGCCCTGCCTCCTAGAACCTAGATGAGGCTTGTAGATGGAGGAGCATGGCTGGCACATGAGTCCCAGGGGTGTCCAGGCAGGGAAGGGCTCACACACTTTCTGGAGTCAAAAGCCAGAGCAGCAGCTCTCCATGTAGGGAATTTAATGTGGAATAAACTGTTCTGAAGCCAGCCTGCTGCTGGAGAGGCTGCAGTGCTGGATGCTGTCCCTGTGGGTAGCAAAGGGGAGGCAGGGGAAAGAAGGTGAACGGGGTTTGAGTGGAAAGGAGGGGTAAGGTGAAACTGGTGACTGTAATGGTGAGAAATGTCCAGAGATCCCTGGTCTTAGGTAAGGCTCTCGTTCTGTGGTCTCTGTAGAGCAGAGGTGTGAATTTAAAAAGCAAACGGAAAACAAGCCTGTTCATACTACTAGAGGTACCTCAAGGCATTTATGAAACTTGAGTCTTCCTGTTCCCTCCCCTGTGGCTATTGTAACATGTTTTCTGTTTCTCCTTCTAGGCAGAACTGCTGAGACTTTCTAAAATGCCTTTATGCTTCCGGAGTTCCGTCCCATTTGCCGTACCTGGAGCGCTGGCACTTCTTGCGTGCTGGTGGATTTATTCCCATAGAGAAAAGCATGGAACCTATGAAGAGGAGCCAGCAGTAGCTGCTGAAGAGCAGCAGGAGGAAGTGACACAGCAGGATTCAGCACCAGGAACAGAACCATGTGCTCCACAAGGACAGCTCTCCTTGCTGGAAGAGGAGGCCACAGAGAACAAAACCTCGACCTCCCTGCTGACAGCGGGGTTGACGATGCCCTCTGTTAGGTGTCACACTGATGAGAGGCTGCATCTCTCACCAGACTTACCCGTGACAACAAATCAGCCCAGTGCCCTTGAGAACGGCACTGAAACACTAGAAGAAGAGGGATCTCAAGACGGAAAGAGTGTCCCTTGCACATCCACGTGTGAAGGTGGGGCATGTGTGGAGGGCCCGGTGCAGAGCACAGTGCTGGCTGTTCCCTTCCCTTCCCTTCC